CCCCCCACCCCCCCCCCCCCCCCCCCCCCCCCCCCCCTTTCTCTACTTCCCTTCTTCACTCCCTCCTCAACCTCACTGCAACACCATTGCTCGTCAGACATGGCGCGCGTTATCATTTGCTCCATCTTCTCGACCCGAATGCATAACCGAGCATTCTATTTCGTTGTCACCCTGAAAGATGAACGCGTTTTGAGCTTTTGACATTTTCTTCTCAACGTGAAAAACTATTGAGTTGATTAATTCATCACGGCTGACAGAATGTCTCCCCCCTTTGGAGTGCTTTCCCTTTATTGTAGCAACGTGTTTAAATATTTCAATCAAACCACTTAGGCGTCAGCTCGGCATTATAAAGTGCGAACGATGACTTGGACTAAAAACTGCGAGTGGAAAGGAAGTTTTAGAGCATCGGTGTCAAACTCATTGTTGTCACGGGCCACTTTGGAGTTACGTCTTCCCTCGGAGGGCCATCAAGACAGTGAAACCGAATACATTTTAATCATCACATCATGTTATTACTTGGGCGACCCGGTTTGCATGTTCTCCGGGGTGGGTTTTCTCCGGGTACTCCGGTTTCCTCCCACATTCCCAAAACATGCATGGCAGGCTGATTGAACACTCCAAATTGTCCGGAGTTGTAAGTGTGAGCGCGGATGGTTGTTTGTCTCTGTGTGCCCTGCGATTGGCTGGCAACTGGTTCAGGGTGTCCCTCGCCTACTGCCCGAAGACAGTTGGGATAGGCTCCAGAAACCCCAGCGTCCCTTGTGAGGATGAGCGAATCGGAAAATGAATGAACGTTATCACTTGTACACACAAAAAAAAAAAAGATGGCTCACTAGTTTTGAAATCAGTCAAGTATTTGTTCAATTATTGCTCAAGTGAGTGTAAACAGGGTCACAAAGTCATTGCAAAATCTCACCGTTATTTATTACGTGTGACAATTTGAGATTTTGCTACAGATTTAAAAAAAGAATCATGGACAGATGATTTGCTTTCGCGGGCCACACAAAATAATGTGTCGGGCCAGATCTGGCCCCCGGGCCTTGACTTTGACACCTGTGTTTTTACAGTTTTATTGGGGTCACGGCGCGCTCCCGTCATCTCAATCGTTGAGTGTAAGGTGGTCATCTCTGCTGTTTCAGATCAGTCGGTTCCTTCAATCTTGGCCATTTTGATCATATGAAGTGTTTGATATTATCACGTCTTTCAATCTTTGCACTGACATGACACAACCAGTAGATGAGCTTGAGCAAAGCCGTAAATAGGGAACAGTACTCGGGCCACGACGATCAGTCCATATTCTGTTGCGTTATCACTTTCCTACCGTCTGTTTGGTGCCTCGTTAAAAATCGCGTTTTTTTTAAAATCAACATCCAACTGTCATTGAGTGACTGAATCTTCAAAAGCGAGAAACACTGACATTCGCAGCCAGCGCCTCGCACTCGTGCGGGTCTCCGCTTTACCGCCTCGTACGAGGTTTCTGTTTACCGTGTGCTGCCGCTCGACGATAAAAGACGAGTCGATAGGAGACAAGATGCCAAGAGTGACAAGGATATGAGAGCGCGCCCATGGCTCCGTGTCACTTGCGTGAACACGGCCCTGCCGGAGAACTCAATACTCCGGGAGAGACGTCTCTCCGTTCACGCACGGGCTACACCGGGAGGTTGCTTCCCTCAAATCCCCCGGAGGGGTTTAAAATATCAGTAACCAGATAGCTCGGCTCCATGTCTGTAGTATCTATTTTGGGAAGTAATTCAGCATGAGTGGCATAAATAAAAACAACCGTGATGTGAGCTCAAACAGTCATTTGCCTTGGCATGTGTTGAACGTTTAACAAACCATTATGGATGGAGAGGAAGATTGAGCTCATTCTCAATGCCTCATTAAACTTTTTTTTTTTTTTTTTTTGCATCTGTAAATGTAAACCAAAAGCGCAGCAAATCATTGACGTTTACTAATCGAGGCCATTACGGGCCGCCTGCAGCGCTTTGTTCCGTTCGTGTGAGTGAGGTGAGCTTACAGATGTCGCGAGTGAGGCGCGTTTGCCGTCCATGAGTGACGCCGTACGTGCCGCTTGGCTCACGGAAATATTGCCCCTAGCAGTAAAACGGGAATTTAGCTACCTGTTCCTTTTCAATAGAACTTGGCAAGAAGCAGGATGTTCACATAGCGGCAATATACAGCCCGGAAACAAAGAACTACACGTTTGACAATGAATGGCGTTAAACTGCAGGTCTCAGTGTCATTCTGTTCAATGGCTCGACCCATCTATTGGTTATTTTTGTCTATCTCACCGTAGTATACAAAATATATTACAAAGTGGCACACATGCGCCGTGGCTGCGCTTGCGCTGACAGAACACGAGAAACGTAAATAACCCCCCACGTGTCAACATCAGGCAATTGCAAGATGGAAGTAATCAAAGATGTGCTAGCTCGCATGCTACGACAAAAAAAATGCAGGTTATACTGTACTGGCAGTGTCACAAGAATACAAGTCATTGGCGATGCGACTTAAAACAATGAATGAATTCACCAAAACCTGCAAATATTCATGGTCACGTTTGAAATCATTGCATCTCGAGACCCGCTGCCAGGAAGGTGTCCCACTCCCAAAATCGCCCCACCCGCACCCCCTTCGGGGCATCGATACCAGACAATTCTTTGTCCCACTTCCCCGCCAACACTGGCCCAGATTCTCTGCCCCTCCTCTGACCCACTGTCCCCCGGCTCCCCTCTGGCCATACCTCGCTTTACACCTCCCATTGAGGATGCGACCCCCACTCCCCCCCACCTCGCAACCACCCTTCTCCCCTGGTCAGACCGATTATCCCTCTTTTGTACTCTGATTAAAGGAGCAGCATGTGGCCTGCGCGAGTGGCCCACACAAACGCTTGTTGGTAAGCTAATGTGAACATGACGCGCTTAATCATTTATGTCTGGGAGGGAGACTGCCGCAAAGGCTCGGAGCAGGTGCGTTGGTTTGTCCGCGCTTTGTTAAAAGCTAACGGTGAACTTGGCACGTTTCAAGCTATGGTGTCTCAGGGAAAAAAAAAAAAAAAAAAAAAAAAACCCCAAGTGTGCGCCCGCCGTCTGTGGACGTTACAACAGCCGCATTAAATATTGAAGGATTAGACAGTCTGCAGCCCTCCAAAGAGGACACTATTTGGGCACCCACGCTAATTCTCCCCGCAGCGCTCGCCTCCTCCTCCTCCTCTTACGTCTGTCTGCCGCCCCCCAACAACACCCCCCACCCAGTGCCAAGCAGCTCGTCCCTCCAACACACACACATCAACACGCACACCCATACACGGACCCAGGCAGCCAATAAGCAAGCACCAGTCTCCCCATTGCTTGCCACTCATTCCTTGTTGCCAGGACAACAGCAAAGCACGAGTCCCACTTTACATTTTTTAAACTTGCTTTTTGACTCTCTTGCCGAAAAACACAAATATGTGTCCCGCTGCAAAAACGGCTGTCGAGTCGACACATCCCGACGAGATCTGCGGTGGTTTTGAGTTTCTTCCTTTGGCGGCGGCCTCCGAAAATTCCTCCAAATGTTCACATACGCCGATGTCGTGGTGTTTTGGACATCGTTATTATAAGCTTGTGTTTGTTTTCCCCCCAACGCAGGTCTAAAATGACAACCGGCCAGATGTTCCTTTTGATTTTGATGGTTTTGGTTCCTCCCTGCGCTAGCTTGGAAGGTAAGGATGCCTCCTCTCCTCTTCTACACCTTTTCACATCCGATTTAAGGGGCCCGGGGGTGCTTCCGCAAGGATTAGCAGGCATTATCTACTCGAATTTAGATCCCCGGCTAACTATAGATGGGCGATTTTCAGTCAAAACACACAGTCTCAGCCTCTCGGTGTCTGTCTGAGTGCCCCTCGAGCAGCTTGCATGCACAGAATGATCATTCAACCACGTCCCCCTCCTTCTCCACACCCTCCTCGGTCTGTCTAATCCTCCGTCTCGCAGTTATTTTCGACAACTGCAGTGGTGCGCAATTTCCAATGCGGCGAAAAACAGTGTTTTTCAGTCGACGCCAATGAAACGCCGTCAATCGTCTGTCATCCATACAGCCCAGGGCGACGCGAGGCGCTCTGAGTGCCTGTGCGACGGGTCGTCGTGCAGTGGCGGCGACCGGTGTTTGGGCCTGCAGTGCTTCACCTCCCTCTCCTTACTCAACGGGGCCTGGGAGCTTCAGAAGGGATGCATTGTGGGTAATCCGGAAGGAAAGTGCGGTATGCCGCCAACTCCCGAGCTGGTGATGGAGTGCTGCTTGGGAGATCTGTGCAACATGAATGTGTCTCTACAGCGGCACGTGAAAGGTTTGCCTGCTGATTTTTACCCTTTTGTTTTTTTTATTTTTTTAAATCCATGAACACATTACAACATACGATAAAGATAACTGATGAAACTTTCACATGAATTGAAAAAAGACAAAAGTGGAGTTACGAGAGTCTTACTGCAACTGAATACACATTGACAAGCCACCGGCGGAACAGCAGGCAGCCAAAATAAGGACTGTGACAGTTTTTATGACGATGTTGCATTTTTTTTTTTTTGTTTTTGGATAAAGTTTATTTTCATTAGAAAACGGTGACCTCATCTATCCATCCATCCATCCATTTTCTGATCCGCTTTATCCTCACAAGGGTCGCGGGGCGTGCTGGAGCCCGTCCCAGCCGCCTTCGGGCAGTTGGCGGGTCACACCCTGAACCGGTTGCCAGCCAATCGCAGGGCACACACAAACAAACAACCATCCGCGCTCACACTGACACCTAGGGACAATTTCGAGTGTTCAATCAGCCTCCCATGCATATTTTTGGAGTGTGGGAGGAAACCGGAGCACCCGGAGAAAACCCACATAAGGCATGGGTTGAACATGCAAACTCCACACAGGAAGGCTGGAGCTGGAATCGAACCCGGTTGCTCCGCACTGTGAGGTCGATGCGCTAACCACTGGCCCCACCGGGCCCGCCTGTACCTCATTTATTATTATATTATTTTTACCATCGAAACTGAGCTCCTCCCCCTTGACATTCAAAGACGCTAATCACTCACTTGCGATGTATCACTTCAACTTGCTTCCTTGACACGAACTCTCCTCTAAGTCGGGGCATTTGCTCCGTCTTTGAGCATTGTATAAAAAGCACAAAAAAGTATAAACGGGTCGGTTCCGAACTCAACTAGACCAGCTTGTGACTCGTGAATATGCGGGTGTTCACTGTCGTGATACGCCGGTAATCTGTTGAGACAACCGAAGTGGGTGTTCATGTTTTAAATAGAAAAGTATCCCGGGTTAAGAGCCTGCAAAAAGCTTTGATCCCTTGTCATGTCTAATTGAATGCCGGTTAGGAGAATGGGAGAGTGATGATATCGTGCTAATGGCTCTCATCTTTATCTCGGCTTGTGCCCATCAGATGTGGAAGCGTCTGCCGGCAGACCGGTCCTCAGAGAGCAGGAGTGCGTGTGCGAGGGCGCCGCCGCCTGCCAGCCCCGTCGGCGCTGCGCCGGCCAACATTGTTTTTCCTCCCTCAAGGTGACCGACGGCGCGGCCGTCCAACAGAAGGGCTGCCTGAGGGACGACGACGTGGGCCGAGCCACCTGCGCCACGCCGCCCTCGCCGGCCCACGTTGTCAAGTGCTGCCAGGGCCATCTGTGTAACATGAACGTCACCGTGCAAGCTCCGGGGAAAGGTGCCTTCCTACACCGCGCGGACAAAACATAACACTGCCACAGCTGTGCCAAACACGATCACGGAGGCAGTAGACAATGGCGAATTGATTCAATCCTTTTTTTCCATTGTTCAGAGTTAGTAAGTATAACTTTGCAACCTTTTTTTTTTTCCAAAAATATTGACATTCAAACATTGTTTGAATGTCATTTATGTGGTTTATCAGTTACCATTTATTCATAACAGTGGAATGGGATCAAAAAAAACTATTTCAAAAACTTCAACTTGGAGGTCAGGTGTGAAGTAAACCTGACCAACCATCTTTTGACTAATACTTAGCGCTAAAACAATTTCAACCACCAAGGTCCAAAGTTAGCCCCATAGCAACTCGCTTAACACCGAAAAGACTTTTGTGACGTCATCTAAGCACCGGTCAGCCATTGTCATGTCTTCGGCATTGTCGTCGAGTTTTTCGGCGAAACGCCTCGGCGCCGTGTGGCGATGCACCGCTCCCATTCAGGCAAACGGTTGTTTGAGTGCCCAAAAGAAAACAACAAGGGCACAACACGTAAATGGACCAGAAAATCGCAACGAAACAGCAATTCTAATTTGCAGGTGTTGCGGCTAACCCTTTTTTCCCCCCCGCCATGAATCTTTTACAGAGGAAGTGAAGCCCCTTGTCAAAGAGAAGCACGAGTGCGTGTGTGAGGGCAGCTCATGCGCCACGGGGAATCGCTGCATGGGAAGCCAGTGTTTCTCCTCCCTGACCGTCAGCGGCGGCTCTCTGATGTACCAGAAAGGTTGCTTTAACGTCTACGAGCAGAGTACCATGACCTGCAAGACTCCACCTTCCAGAGACCAGATTGTGGAATGCTGCTTCGGGCACCTGTGCAACCTGAACAGCACCGTGCAGCTTCCCGTTAAAGGTGGAGTGCTAAGTTTCTCATTAGGCCTCTCCTTAGCGCATCTTATTTTCACGTACGCACGATCACAAGACTGGCAGCATTCCTGTTGTAAATACAATGAAGTCCCATTTGTCCTGGTGGGGGTTGCGGGGGGGCTACGTTCCAGGCCAACCTGCAGTGGGGCAAAATTCGTAATATAGAGAGGCATATTCATTAAAAAAAAATCTCTTTATACACTTCCTGGATTGTTTAACTCATTCACTCCCAAAGACGTTTTTAAACGTCTTTTCAGACTTGGTCTAGAATTGGCTGGTACGAAATGAGTTAAATGCATTTAGAATTTTACAACACACTCAGTATTCCTTTGCACCTGTTCTCGGGCCCTCAAACAGTTTAACACACATGGAGCAGCAACACAAACAAACAATGCATGCGATAAAAGTGGATTAAGAGTCGAGATGGATTTAGCACCTAAAACGTGCAGTGCGCACATGTTTAAAAAACACATTGGTGAAAAATGTCAAGTTGAAGTGAGAAAACCACAGATCTGTTTGCTTTACTTTTGTAATTTGTCTTCTGGACTTGGCAACATAGTGGCATGGTGGCCATCGGGAATTTTTGGGAGATTCACGAATGGCCAGTCCGTATCTTGCTTTTTTGTTTTCATACATGGGAAGAGAATTTGTAATATTAAGGGGGTAGAAATTGCATTGATATTAATTTTCTTAATCATTTAGCCCTAATAAAGAAAAAAAAAAACATTACCAGGGGCACAATCACTGCACAACAACATAGCGGGGGGGTGGGGGCACTTTAATGTGACTCACTTAAGTGTGACTCACTTAAGTGTGACAGTTGTGCCACGTCAGCCTCTGTGAGGTGATGCCCTTGCCATCCCTCGGGAGCAGAAACGATGCAGACCCTGCGTAAGTCGTGGGGCGGGGCGGTCCTTGACTATTACTTAGTCATGGTGCCCCCCCCTGCTGTCCTGTCTGTTGCCTGACATTATCCGGAGGCTAGAAGCCACCTAGGGAGTGTGAGCGAGACAGAGAGCTAAATTCAGCTCGACGGTGTCCTGCCGTCCGACTCCCATAGTGCACTCGATTAGCTTCACGAGATGCCTCACTTCATGCGACCACGATGAGTGTGATACCGTGGAAAAAGCCTTGCAGCCAGTCCTACTTTCGTCGCTTTCGTGTTTGATTCTTGAAAAAAAAAAAATTCCAGCGATTCATTTGTTGTGTCGTGATTTGGAGGCGATGCCTTGCAGTTTTATGTGGGCCTGGGTTTCTCCACCTCCCCACAAGATAGTTATCGTATTAAGTGTGTGTGTGTGTGTGTGTGTGTGTGTGTGTGTGTGTGTGCGTGTGCGTGTGTGTGTGTGTGTGTATTTGGGTGAAAGAGTTGATTATGCGAGGTGGGAGAAGGAGAGCTTTATGTTTGATAAAAGCAGAGGTGAGTGGCTTTTCCCCTTGGAATGTTTGGAAAGAGTGAATGGCGGTCAGTTCTCCTTGTTTGTGTGGGTATAAAAAAATGTAGGGGTGTGTGTGTGTGTGTGTGGAGGTCTTGAGGTGTGGCGATGTCCATTGGATATTAAAAAGTCTACACAGCCCAACTCAAATACCTTTTTAAAAATATATAATGAATGAGGCCGAGCAAAATCATTTTCAGAAATGTTGCCAACATGGCGCCCTAAAACCTGCACACCTCTGTAGATTTTTTCTTTCAATCTTTCCGAGAGGTAAACTAAAAATAAACAACATAATGCGGCTGCGTAATTCCTTCCGCGTTGTCTTTGGTCGCAGCTCCGCACAATTTGACATACCTTAGCAGCCACTGTAAGCACAAAACCTTCAAATTTATTCTAAAACCCGAAGAAACGTCTGCTTGAAGTGATTTTATTCCTTGTAATCTTCTTGTCCCCCTCTGCAGCCGATGAGCTCTCCGCCTACAGCGTGACCATGCTGGCTGTCGTCATCGCGGCGCCCATCCTTGTCCTGGTGGTCCTCTCGGCCATCGCCATCTTGGTGTTTCGACGCATCCACCGCAACCAGATGGAGAGACTGACCTCCCGGGATGCCGAATACGGGACCATCGACGGTCTCATTGCCTCCAACGTAGGGGAGAGCACGCTGGCGGTGAGTCGCAAAGAATATTGCGGGCGCGAGGAAAGCTAGACGTGGGAATAGACACACAAAGCATTGCAGATGTGGCGTTTCACAACAAACAGTGGGTTCAAGAAAATTCCATCGTGTTTGTCGCCGTCTTCATCAAATGGCCGACGCTCGGAACTTTCTCTCGTGCCGTGCGAAAAGGCTTCAACTGACGGCGAGGCGTGTTCCACATTATTCAAACAACTGAAAGCCATTACAAACCTCCACTTCTGATCAGCAAAAAAAGCAACTCTAAGACAAGTTGGGGCGATGTCCTTTCAAAATAAAAGTATGCTATTGCAATCATCATTGCACGACACTTTCTGTGTCCCCGTGGCTGCAGTCATTTTTGAACTTTTTTGGGGCTTGTTTATTATTCATGCAACTGCCAAATAGGCTGTCAACTGGCCAAAGAAATGCGGTGAAACTGTTACGATACGGTGTGCTTTTATGTCGAAGGTCTGACGTGGCACAGGATGTTAGGCCAATGTTGCCCCAATATGTCAAGATGCTTTGCCCTTTTTACACGATTTCCGAAATGCTTCTGATGAACGTGCGTCCAATCTGGACAATTAATTACCAACTCGTGCATGTTTTTTTTTTAAATAAATGAAAACCAGGATATATTGGAAAAAAATGGTCAAAAACCAATGTTCCACTCAGTTGTTCATATAATGTGAAGGGATTTGTTGGAAACCAAATCCAAGATATATCTGTAAAAAGTGAAAAGGAATTGCACATTTCTGGAAAAAAAAGTAAAAAGAACAAATCAGTTTTTGCACGAAAAATTCAGTCGACACACTTGATTTGGCTTTGGTGGACCACAAAAATGTATTTTGATGGCCAGCCTTGAACACACACACACAAACGTGATTGTTTCTTCTCGATAAGAGCCTTCAGGACTAAGGTGGATCGAAAAATGCTGGTCATGTATGTATCTCTCGTGTTTCTCTACACTTGGAATTACATATTTAATCAGCCGTCGTCGCGGCTGTGACTGATGTACTTCATTACTCGTGTTTACAAAATTCCAGCACTAGAAACGATTAAAACGTAGATTAAGCTGTCTTGTGAAACAATTCCAGTCTTGTGTTTGGTGTGCGCCGGCTTCAGAGAGACTCTTTGTTTCTCCGCAAGAAAGCCCCTCTAATGCTTGTTTGGCTTCTCGGGATCATTTTTACTGTCTGCACTCGGAATGTCCTCTCTCAGCCAGCGATTGTGAACTTTTGCACACTGCGGTTTATGTTTGGGGGGGTTTCACTAAAGGGATCCAGAGTTTAGGTGGAGCCGCGCGGTCGAACAGGCCAGCGCATTCAGCGGCTGTGGCTGGGCGCGCTCTGTAATCACGCTCGGGCATGGACAGCATGACCGCAGCCGTCGCAAAATAGACTCCGCGTCCATTTTGCGAGCATACTTTGGGGATTACTCTTTCCGATATTTCCACTCTAGAAATCCAGATGATCCCAACGACATCCAATACACTGCGGGATCGTTGGAGTGTCACGTTCGGATGCAGTGCGGCCGTCGATTCGGGCTCCCGACAAGATTTGGCAGGGAAAACCCCGAAGCCGCCAAATGTTTATTTAAGCGCCGTAAAAAATGCGCTCGGCCGCGCTAAAGCAGAAACACTTAGTTGTGGCTGTCAAACACGCGCCGAGAGTGCCGTGCGGAGGCCATCGGGATTTTATTTCAATTTGTGTCACATGCCTTTTGAAATGAGACTGGTCTGGTTCTTTTACGGTCTCGTAACACTGTCTCGCCCTTTCACGGCCAAATAAAGACCTCTCTAATAAACGCCTTGCCTCTGATAAATGCCGAGCGCTCTGCACAGTCCAGTCAATGCTCCCGCCCACTGCGCGGGGGCCCTCTGGTTTGTTTCGGCAATGACGTAACCTGGATTTCTACTGAACGTGTCGAAGTCTGTCTCTCACTAACACGAATGTGGAGAAAAGTGTCATTTCACAATGCATTCCACTCCGAATGACGGTAAATTTATGAAAAATAAATAAAAACATCCACCCATCTGTTTTCTATCGAGTTTGTCACCAAAAAACTTCATTGCATTTCTCAGCATAGTTGAAATGTTGTAATGAGGAAAAAAAATGGTTTCAGAGCTTAGAAATGTATGAATCGCTGCTCATTATTATTCATCAGCTCCCCGACAAACATGCTCATGTCGCGATTCACATACTTGGACACGGACACCGCTTTTAATTTCACCCATATCTTGCGCTACCATTATGATCCAGCGGCCAAAAAGTTTCTTATTTAGAGCCGATAATCGATTTCATTTCACAGCCACGCTCTTCCATCTCGCAATTCCAGTTGTCTCGCAGACAGTTCATCCGTAATAAATCTGTTTGTACGAGGTGTCGGCTTCCCAGGTTGTGTTGATCCTTCCTTCCTTCCTTCTTTCCTCCCTTCCTTTCTTTCCTCCTTCCTTCCCTGTCCCGCTTCACTGGTTTGGTTTTCCCCTCAGTTGCTGACTCAGCATTGCCCTCTGGTTGCCAGCACTGGGTGCTGCATATTATTTCCTCCTGCCCAGTTAAAAATAAAAGGCTTAGCAGTGTCGCGCCTTGTTTTGCCGCTTGGCCCGGAGATTAGCTGGAATGTCCAACAGCCACAACACTTCAATTAAAAATAGTTGTGTACTTCTGCTCTTTGTACAATAGAGGGCGCTCTCTCATCAAACACAAAACTCTCGAGTTGACTTCTGCCTACTTGATGAATCTCTTGGGTACCTTATGACTATTTCGGCTTCTCTTCCTCCCCCAGGATCTTCTGGATCACTCCTGCACTTCAGGAAGCGGCTCTGGCCTGCCCTTCCTGGTTCAGAGGACGGTGGCTCGACAAATCACTCTCAACGAGTGTGTGGGTGAGTGTCCACTCGAAGTTGTTATTGACGGTAGCTCTGCGCGAGAAAATGGAGCCTTGCTCATTCATTTTAATGAGGCCTATATGTCAGCACAGTTGGAGGGGGGAGGGTGCACAACACAAACACACACACACACACACACACACACACACGCACAAGGAAAAGTACAGAAGAATTCTCACAACTGTTGAAAACAAATCGATACTGGATCTACGTTTTGCCCAAAGCAATTCCACATACTTTCTCCCCCCGAAGGCTTAAATCTCCATAAGACTGTACAAACTGTGCATCTCATACAATTCCAAACCTGCTTCTCATGTGCTGTGACTCATGCATAAGCATCGCCAACAAACTCTCATGGCTTACAAATAAAACAGATGCCAGTGTTGAGGTGAAAAACATCTTTGGATTGCCAAACAGGCCACTATTGTTGTTGCAACCAAGGAGGCAGAAATCAACTGCTGAAGAAATACGACTCCCCGGCGTCCTCCGTGTTGCGCGTCAATGTCATACAGATGATGTGGTCGGATTGGCTCAGCAGAGTTTAAGCGCGCACCACGGGTATGCTTATTACCTCCTCTGGAGGTCATAAAACACATCCATAGTACATCAAATTAGGGCTGGACAATGAATCAAATTCGAATCGACCTTGCAATGTTGGAGAATGTAATTTTCAAATCACAGAAGTTTTGAAGATTTGGAGAAAAAAAAAACAACGCAGCTTCAGACTTTTTTTTTTTTTTTTAATACATGTAGTGCCAAAACTGACCTGTGAGAGGCAGCATGGTGTCAAAGAGCATCTAAAATGCTTGACAAAAGTAATTTTTTTTTTTTTTTTGCGGTGTCTTCTAACTTTATTATACATTCCAATGACACTGACTGCGCTGTAAACTGGCTTCAACCACCATCACTTCATGTGTTTTTTTTTTTTTGTTTTTTTGCCCCGTGGCAGGTAAGGGCCGTTACGGCGAAGTGTGGCGAGGCCAGTGGCAAGGAGAGAGTGTGGCTGTGAAGATCTTCTCGTCCCGAGACGAGAAGTCCTGGTTCCGAGAAACGGAGATCTATAACACTGTGCTGCTGAGACACGAGAACATCCTGGGTAGGTCACCGACGATTTGTGAAATATCCCTTCAAGGCTCAATCAAAAGCCGCAGTTTCCTTTCTAAATGTTGCATTTTGTAAATACCATGATTCCAATCATGTCATTGATGTTGTCAAGCCTCATTTTTTTTTTCTTGGAAACAGTAATTCATTTTGTTTACCTTATTTAGCTTAATATGATGTCGTAAAGTTTGTGGTTAAATGAATGCCACTGGCGGTGTCAATTAAAACTGAGCATCTTTTGTGAAAGCGGAATTTTCTCATTCGAATGTACCCACTGACATAATTAAACTTTAATAACTGCAATTATTGTATCAGCACACTCTAGAAACCAAATCAGGACGTCGGTATTTGAATCATTATGGCGGCAATTAAGTATCATAGCGTATTTATAAAAGGATGAGTCATTTTGAGAGTAATTGTCCCACCTCGACCCCTCTTTTTTTTTCCGACTTATCTGCTTGACAGCAACAACGAAACGTACGCCGTTTTGCGCGTTCATTTGCGCCGAGCGTGACTCTGACGCCTTCTCTGTTCTCACCCCAGGCTTCATCGCCTCAGACATGACATCCAGGAACTCCAGCACGCAGCTGTGGCTCATCACCCACTACCACGAGATGGGCTCGCTGTACGACTACCTTCAGCTGAGTACCTTGGACGCGTGCAGCTGCCTCCGCATGGCGCTCTCCATCGCCAGCGGCCTGGCGCATCTGCACGTGGAGATCTTCGGCACCCAGGGCAAGCCGGCCATCGCCCACCGGGACCTCAAGAGCAAAAACATCCTGGTTAAAAAGAACGGCCAGTGTTGCATCGCCGACCTTGGTAAGAACAAGAAAATCCTTGCGTTGCTTGCTTGCGTTTCCGAGGCTGCCCGTTATTGTCCCGTATTTTCCGCACTATAAGGCGCTCCGGATTATAAGGCGCACCTTCAATGAATGACCTATTTTAAAACTGTTTTCTTATCCACGGCGCATATAATAGAAACTACAATAGTGGCTGCGGTTGCGCTACACATCCACTAGATGGTACTACGCTAAAGGGAATACAATACAATGCAATACAGCTTTATTTATACAGAACCTTCACAACCTCTGCAGCTGTAACAAAAGCCATCAGAACTGGTCACAAGCACAGATATGAAACATAAATACAAAACACTGTCGGCTTTTGGGAAAATTGAAGGCTTTTAAAGTGCGCCTTATAGTGCAGAAAATACGGTCCACTAAGGAAAAGACGAGTGAAGCATTAATTCATATGCAAGACACATCCGGACACATTTGACCACAGGGACAGTTTTCCGTTGTTCCAGGGTCCAATCTATATGTTCCTGCTGCGGAACAGTGTCAAATCTGGACTCGTCAGACCACAGTTTTGCTCCGGAATCCATTTGTTTATTCGAAGTACCCATCACGAGTCTGGAATCGGGGAAAATCCAGACTCACTGGATCATATGAGCATTTTAGCTTTGCTCCCAAGTCGGCCATCGCCGACGGTGATGTTGAGAGCGAAGAGAAAAAAAATGAAAAAAAAGAATGGGCAGTGTTGCATGCCATGCGTCACATGGAAGAATACAATCCATGTGCATTTGCTTTCATTTATGAGGTTAAAACTATGACTGAGGGGGTTTGAACCTCCAAGAAGACAAAGGCTGGATAACAGGATTTTATTTATTGCGTGCAGCAAAGGAAATAAATCTAATATTGTTCCTCTCGTCTCTCTACTTAGGCTCATTTGTTCCTAATTTAAGGCAAACAACCAGTGCTTTATGTTCCTTCCTGTGCCTTGGCTGTAAACACATTCAGAAGTGCACTTTCTCTAACACGCCAATGTTCCAGTCGCTCAATTAAAAAAAAAAAAAAGAAGCTCGGCCAGGTAGTGCGTGACGCGACGGGCGATCCTGACATGTCCACTGATGTATTAAATGCCACGTCGGATGACGCAATCTGGGCCGTATCGTCTCCGGGCCGAGGTGTTCTCGTGTCGGGCTACATCCTGTTTACAAAAACATCAAGTCGCTCAATGGAGATCAAGCGCCTTTTACGCGTTTGTGACGAAACACGGCCGTCGTCGTCCTCTAGGTCTGGCCGTCATGCATTTCCAAGACACCAACGAGCTGGACGTGGGCAACAACCCCAAAGTCGGAACCAAGCGCTACATGGCCCCCGAGGTGCTGGACGACTCCATCCAGATGGACTGCTTTGAGTCCTACAAGAGGGTGGACATCTGGGCCCTGGGCCTCGTTTTGTGGGAGGTTGCCCGGCGGACCGTCAGCAACGGTGCGTGTTCCCGCTCTCGCAAATTCTCTTCGGCTGTCTCGCCATCGAGCGAGAACCGGAATTTCGGCAACACGATGAACTGACACAGTGACCCCACGGGTTGCTTCATTTCAGAGCTTACGTACTTTTTTCTTTCTTTTTTTTTGGGTTTGAGTATGTCAAAGTGCCTGTGTTTTTCCCCCAAAGGCATCGTAGAGGACTACAAGCCCCCTTTCCACGACGTGGTTCCCAGCGATCCCAGTTTTGAGGATATGAAAAAGGTGGTCTGCGTGGACCAGCAGAGGCCCAACATACCCAACAGATGGTTCTCGGACCCGGTGAGTCATCCCACAAAGAAGTCCGATAGCTGGGCGGACCTCCGCTATTTGCGGGAGGGGGGTGAGGGACTGAGCCCTACCGTAAATTAGGGGAAATTAGCATCAATGTTCCGGCAACGTATAAAAACGAAAGAGAATGACACATTGTTCAACGTGAGTATGAAATATTTCTCAATGTTCTCGCAAACTGTGTCATTTCTTCCAAAATGTTCAATGGCTGAATGCTAACATATCATGTGAAACATCATCCAGAGCTCTTAGCATGTCCATTACAATAATTAGCAACATGCATGACCTTTTGATATATGACTTATTCTTCTCCCCCCCCCCCCCCCCCCCCCAGACTTTAATCTCCATGGCAAAGCTGATGAAGGAGTGCTGGTATCAGAACCCGTCGGCCCGCCTGACGGCGCTGCGCATTAAAAAGACTCTGACAAAGATCAACAGCTCCGTGGACAAAATGAAAACAGACATTTGAGCGTGCCCGGCGCCCAATCGGAGGCGCTGCTGTACTTCCCGGACGAACGCGCCCTTTCAGATGGGCCGCGTGCCCTTATAGCGGCACGGACCCGTATTTATTCTAAAATACTTGGCGGGACACATTTTGGCATCCAAAGATGGCTGACCGGGGCTCTTGGGGAATAGGATGTTAAATATGAAGCAGTCACAATGTGGGAGCTGGGTTTCGGCCATTACCAGGGAGTTGTTGCTTTGGTTTTATTTTTTGATCCTCAGTTTGGAGAACAGGTTCGCATTGAGTGACAAAGTGTTTTTTTTCTTTTTTTTTTTTCTTGGCTTTGTTTGTTAGCCTTGTTGCAAAAAAAAAAAAAAATGCTCATCACTCTTCCAACGTCAGCAGTCCTTTAAACAGTTGTACAGTTCTCAAGCTTAGCGTATGACCGTGCCGAATGATGTACGTGCTCTCGACGTGATCTTCCTTTTATTTGTGTTTGAGTTCTGCACAAAAAACAAAAACACGAAAGGAACACGTTAAAAATATCTGCAAGGTGATGCTAAGATCAGCCCTCTTCTCCGCTCTTAATGGAGGCCTGGACTGGAAGTTTGCCTTTATACCGTCTTAACATGTGCATTGTCAAGATCACGAAGTCAAACTTCAACCTTTTTTTTTTTTTTAACTTTTATTTTGTTAACATTTTATATCAGCTAGTGGTTTCTATTAATTAAATAGAAAACAAGTATATGACCTGTCTGGTTTGTCTTGACACTCATTTGTCTCTCTCTCTCTCATTAGGGCTTTGTATGTCATTTACAAATCTTCAACCCCTCCCACCCCACCCCCCTCGTGTCTTCAAAACCTTTTAAAAGTAACGGAATCACCGATGCCTCATGTAAGCTGAACCTGACGACTGCTGTCGTTTTAAAATGCTAACAGAGAGTTTCCAGGCCAGTAATGGCGAGCCGCCGCCATCAACATATGCATCAACAGCTGTTTGGACTTTTGACCGTCATCACATTCGCTGTCATTTAATCCATTATGCTCCCACACGGCTCGCTCGGAAAAGCCCCGCGCCCGCCACTTCCGTCGCTCTCCTTTAGTGTGCTCCGGTGCGTATCTCCTGCTGAAATTGCCTGCTGAATAAGCGAAAAAAAAAAAATTGGATGATTGCTTTTTACAAGGTGACACACATTGCCGAATGCTAAGTAAACATAAGCAACCGCCTTCAATGGTTTCCTCTCGGCGCTTGTAAGAACACGTGGACTATTCCGGCTGCAATCTTGACACTCATGTCCTAGTTAAACTGTCTTCACACACCAATGTTTTGTACATAGTGTCCAAGTGCAGCATATGTGTACTGCGTTTAATGAGCTGTCTGTCGGGGGGGGGGGTTGCTAGGAAACACATACATGTTCACAGTTGGATGCGCAAACCTCCCAGCTCACCCACCCACCCACCACCAACCACCAATACCCCACCTGCATGGGGGAGCAGTTTGCACAATTACTACTTTGCATACCTGTCAATAAATCAAATACTACTTTGGATGTGTTTTTAAAAAGGCCACTTGTTTTTTTTAAACAATGCTACCAGGTTGTAGTGTATATTTTTAAAGAAATATGTAAGAAATATTTTAAAATATTTATTGAAGAAAAATATACATATACTTTTTAAATATGTAAATGTTGGGATTTGCAATATACTGTGTGTATATATA